ACAACCAGAGCTGGAAAGAAGCTTAGTGATCATCTAAGTCAAACCTCTCACTTTACATGGGGGAAACGAAGGCTCAGAAGGGTTAATCAGCATCCCTAAGGCCACCCGACAGAGCTAGATTAACAGAAATCAGTCTGACTGTACTCCTAGGCCATTGCTTTTCCACATTAAAAAAAGAAGTCCTCTTAATTCATTATTGATTTTTCATTCATCAATTTATTTAAACTTAAAAAATTTATAATGTGTTTTATAATGTTATTGCCCGCTATTGGAAAGAGGTCTTCCTCTTTCATTTGTCCTAAACTCATCTTTCTCCAGTCCTCCAGGATGTCTCACTGGCATTCTGTTAGAGCTTGGTAAACAAATTGGGGTTCATCATTTGCCTGTTCTGGTTTTCACATTTTGGCACCTTATAGAAACAGTTTCACCACACATGTGTCTTTACTTAGCAGCCCTGCCTGCATCTTGGTCCATTTTTAGTGCTTCCTCTGGACCTTTTCTAGCTTTAGGTTCTCTTATTTAATGTGTGATAACTAGAATGGCTCACAGATGCTAGAGCAGATATAGGATTACTACACATATTATTATCTTCCCATCAAGAGGTAAATATCTAGGAATATATTTAATGAAAGAGGTGAGAGACATATACAGGGAGAACTACGAAACACTAAGAAAAGAAACTGTAGAAGATGTAAACAGATGGAAAAATCTACCTTCTTCATAGATTGGTAGAATCAACATTGTTAAAATGTCCATACTGCCTAAAGTGATCTACAGAATTAATGCAATCCCTATCAAAGTACCATCATCATTCTTTACAGATCTAGAAAAAATAATTCTACACTTTGTATGGAACCAGAGAAGATCTTGTATAGCCAAAGCAATCTTAAGCAAAAAGAACAAACCGGGAGGTATCAGTCTACCAGAATTCAAGCCGTACAACAAGGCTATAGTAACTAAAACAGGATGGACTGGCACAAGAATGGAGATATAGACCTTTGAAAGAGGACTGAGAATCCAGAGATGAAACCAACCGCTATTGTCATCTAATCTTTGACAAAGCAGACAAAAATATACACTAGGGAAAAGAATCTCTTTTTAATAAACGGTACTGGAAAAACTGGATAACTACATGCAGAAGATTGAAACTGGATCCCCACCTCTCACTTCTTAGAAAAATCAATTCATGATGGATAACAGACTTAAACCTAAGGCATGAAACCTTAAGAATTCTAGAAGAAAATGTAGGGAAGACTCTTTCAGACGTTAGCCTAGGCAAAGAATTTATGAAGACAACCCCCAAAGCAATCAAAGCATCAACAAAAACAAATAAATGGGACCTGATCAAATTAAAAAGCTTTTGCAAAGCCAAGAAAACTATCATTAGAGCGAATAGACAGCCTACAGAAAGGAAAAAATATGTGCTCTCTACACATTCGATAAATGGCTGATAACAAGAATCTATCTAGAACTCAAAAAAATCAACAAGAAAAAAATCAAACAACTCTATCAATAAATGGGCAAAGGACATGAACAGAAACTTCTTAAAAGAAGAAGGAATAATGGCCAGCAAACATATTAAAAAAATGCTCAACATCTCTAATCATTAGAAAAATGCAAATCAAAACTGCAATGAGATATCACCTAGCCCCAGTGAGATTGGCCTTTATCAAAAAATCCCAAAGTAACAAATGCTGTTGAGGATGTGGAGAGAAAGGAACACTCTTACACTGCTGTTGGGGCTGCTAATTAATGCAACCTCTGTGGAAAAGAATCTGGAGATACCTCGAAGAGCTAAAAATAGAAATACCATGAGATTCACCAATAGCACTATTAGGCATCTACCCAAAGGAACAAAAGACATTCTACAATAAAGACATCTGCACTTGAATGTTTATGGCAGAACAATTCACTATAGCAAGGATGTGGAAACAACCCAAATGCCCATCAATCCATGAGTGGATTAATAAAATATGGTGTATGTATACAATGGAATATTACTCAATCATAATGGAATATTACTCAATCATAAAAAACGACAATGATCTAGCACCTCTTATATTTTCCTGTATAGAGCTTGAGCCCATCCTCCAAAGTGAGGTATCACAAGAATGGAAGAATAATCAACACCTAAGTGGACATAGAGGAATAACATTTATCGGGTGTCGGGCAGGTGGGAGGGGGAGGAGGGGATGGGTATATACAAACACAACGAGTAAGATGTACAATGTTTGGGGGATGGACACACTTGAAGCTCTGACTCGAGGGAGGAGGGGGGCATGGGCAATATACGTAACCTTAACACTTGTACCCCCATAATACGCCAAAAAAAAAAGAATGGAAGAATAGGCACCACATGTACTCGCCATCAAATTGGCACTGACTGATCAACACTAAGGGTAGTAATATTCTTTGGGGGTTGGGGGATTGAGGGTGGGTAAACTCACAACTACTGGATGCAGTGAGCGTTGTAGGAAGGGCATGCCTCAAATCATGGTTTAGGTGTGGCAAAATCATAACATGTAACCAAAATGTCTGTATCCCCATAATATCCTGAAAAAAAAAAGAGGTTGAGTGTCCTCTTGAATCTTGGTAGGCTATGACCAACAGAAAATGAAGTGTCACTGTGCCAGTTTCTAGGTCTAGGCCTGCTGCTTCCACTTCCTGTCTCTTGGAACACTTGCTCTTGGGATACTTCATTTGGTAACCCAGCTGCTGTGCTGCCAAAAACCCAAGACACACGTAGACGCCCTTTTGACTGAGCTCCGAGCCAACAGTTAGCATCACTACCAGTCATGAGAACCATGCTGAACATCCAACCCAGCTAAGCCTTCAGATGACTGCAGCCAACACCTGACTGCAGCAACATGAAAGACCCAAGTGAGAACCACCCAGCTGAGCTCAGTCATCCCACAGCACCATGAAAAATTAATAAATTGTTGTCAGGCACTATATTTTAAGGAGGTTTGTTACATAGTAATAAATAACTGGAACAGATACTATAGTTCTCATTCATTCAGCAAATATTTATCAAAGTTATAATATACAAGGAAGTGCTGGAGGTACAACGACAGTAAGAAATGTACCTTACTCTTAGAAGGGGAACTGTGATGGCAAGAGTCCTAAAGCACAAAGTTAATTTCTGCCATTTATTATATGGCAGCATGACACAGGACTAAGCTCATATATATTTCCCATACATGCACTTTCTACCAATTTCAAGTTTTATCTTTTACTTGATCTTTTTCTCTTCAAGATACTACTTAATTCCTCTCCTTCCTTTTTATTTTCAAACTACTGCATCTGTCTCCTTATCACATTCTCTTTGTGGCCCCAATAATCTGCTTTTCAGCCTTGATACTTATCTTAGTCATCTATTGTTGCATAACAAAACACCCCAAAACTTAGCAGCTTAGAACAGCTGCACTTACTATTTCTCACAGATACAAGTATCAGGAAATATGCTTCTGACTAGGGGTCTTGCAAAAACTTGCAGTCAGGCTATCAGCCAGGGTTGCAGTCAGCTCAAGGTTTGACTGCTGGAAAATAGGCTTCCAAACTTATCGTTTGAAGGCCTCAGGTCCTTGCCACATGGGACTCTCCATAGGGCTGCTCACAACATGGCAGCTGGCATCCCTCAGGTGAGAGACAGAGAGACAGAGGGAGAGAGAGAAAACACACACACGTGCACACACATGCAAGCGTGAAGGAAGCCCCAGTAGCTTAAATAACCTAATCTTGGAAGGGACATGGTATCATGTCTGTCCTATTTTTATCAGTTACATAGACCAAGCCTGCAACAGCATGAGAGAAGACTACATGAGAGTGTGAACACCAGGAGGCAGAGATCACTGGGGACATCTCAGAAGGTGGCTGCCAAAGCACATCTGCTTAGACTTTTCCTTTTCCTGAAACTCCTCCTTGGTTTTCGGGGCAATATACTCTATTCATTTTTCTGCCTCCAGAGTTTTTCTCAGCCTAATCCCTTTGCTATACCAATATCAGATTAATTTTCCTAAACCAAGTCTTATTAATATTAAATCCCTTAGGCTGGCTCATCACCTATCAGAGAGACTTTTAACTAGGACTGAACATAATGTAGCCTTATTTTCCCAACTTATGGGAATCAAAACCTACAAATAATCACCCAAACTCCAGATACCATTTCTATTGCAGCATAGGTTATACCTCTCCTCTTTGCACACACTGTTCTGATTTCCCTCTCTTCTCAAATAAGATGAACCAACTTCTCTAAGCTTTACTTCCTGCCTCATTCTCAAAGTACTTTTCTCGTTTTGTATCCACTAACTTCTCTCTTCTTAACTTATGCATTTGTTTGAAACATTTTTTAAACATTTTATTAAGATCAGCTTTATAAATGTCTGATTTTGAGAGCCTGTCTCCTTAATTAGATCATTAGCTCCTTGAGGGCAATGTCTTATTGACAGGGTCTCTGTAACCAGCTTTGTTTTCTATGTTCTGGGAGACACCAAGGTAATCATCACATATTTCCTGATTTAATTTTGTTTATAAACAGACCATCACATGAATTTCTTGTACAAGCAAGGAAAAATCTAAACAGAAATAATCTATGATTCATTCTTTCTGAAAGTGAAAAAGACAAAAATATAGTTTGAAATTTATCTTTCGGGAGAACTTTTCAGTACTTAAATTCGTTTGCTGGGTTTAGAAAGTACCATATTAATGAACACTACTAAATCTGTCAAAATCTATGCCCTCAAGCCAAGTCTCAGGCATTAAACACATAAAAACATAAAGACTATATCTACCCCATGATTAAATAAACAGAAATAACCTTATCTTTAAACAAAATAATTGATTCTTCTTACCACATAAATGAAATAAGGCATAATGGCTCAAAATCTAATTTTTTTCATTTAACGCATCCTTACCAAGTCCCTGTCCTATGCCAGACCCTGGACTGGGACCTTTTGCAGTGCTCTGCCACATGTACAGTGACAGTAAGTCCCTATTCTTACCTCATGGGCACAAGTCCCAGCATTTCATCACGTCGTTTTTCCTTTTTCTTTAGGTCTGATTCTGTTGACTTAAGTTTATCTGGAGCAAGCCGCAGCTTCGACTGCAGATCACTGATAACTTCTTGTAATTCAGCTTCTGTCTGAAAAACTCTCTGGCAGACGGGGCAACACGACTGGTTCTCATCTGTGAGCTGAGTAATGAATTGGGAGTAAACTGCTGTGGCTCCAGCCAGCATGGCTATTTTAAAAGAAATAAATATATCTCCAATGAGAAATATAAATACAGTTTCGTCAACATGGTTACATCTTTTTCTATAAATACGTGATTATTCCTCTTGCTTTATAAACATAAAATAAATAAAAAATAAATAAAAAGATATTTAAACCTTTTTCCAAAGGGCATGATAAATTTAGATTGTACAAATTACTCTTTGGTAACTTACAATAAGTAAAACATAACTTTTATTGAGACCTTTCTATATGCCAGGCAGTGTTCTAAGGGCTTCACAACGATAATCTCATTTATTCCTCAATACCCTAGGCGGTAGGTAGTTGTGTCCTCATTTACAGATGATTAATGTAAAACACAGGAAAGTTTTAATAAGATGCTAAAAATGACACAGTGAGTAAGTTGTAGAGCCAGGACTAAAACTCAAGCCATTTGGCTCCCTAACCAGGTTTTTAAATCTCCCATCCTTAAGAGTTACCTCTGAATCAAAATTCAAAAGTGTCAAAGTGCCTTGATAATATAAAGGAGGTAACTTACCTCGCTGTTTTGAGGATTTTTCAATTTCTTCTTTAAGCCTGTCTAAATCACTTTCAAAGTCCTGGCTACCACAAACATCAAATAGCTTGTCTTCATAACTGGACAATTGCTCTTCTTTTCTTTTTAGCTCATTATTTATATGATTTTTATTCTGCTCAGCTGAAGCTAGTTCCTTGCTAAAATAAGAACAAAATGTGGATTATAATTTTAAATCATGAGAAAAGAGTTTGAAAAGTTTGAGTAGGCATATACAAAACAAATTCTGTCAACAAATCATTACAAGAGTTTGGTATAACAAAATACTATTTCTTTTAGAAGTCAAGGCAACAGTCCACTTACACCTTGACTCTCTACCTAGGGCACTGACTCACTTTGCCAGTCCTAGTCTTGGGCCTACTCCCAGGAAAACGTACACAGGCAGAATTCTGCCTGGTTTCTGGAGGTTCATTGTCTCAGATCTCAGCTTAAGAGCCTGAGTAAGAAGATGCTTGCTGGGTCTACTGCAGGGAAAGAAGAGAGGAGGAAAACAATTTCCTAATTCCCTTTAGCCTCTTTCACAATATTACTTCCCTACTCTCCTATAAAAACCTTTTCTTATTCCTCTCCTTGCTGCTGTCATCTACTTATCTACTGATCACTCATTCCCTCTCATTCATCAAAGATTTTGTTACTGGTACAATTTATCTCTATTCCAACTCTTAAACAATCATCCTAGCCAACCTCAATACTCACACATATCAGGGTTTTTCAATTTGCTGGTTACGATACAAGTCATGTAGTCAATTTAATGCATTGTACTCAGCCTATTTTTAAAAAGTGAAATAACAGAATGTAATATACTGGAGTAGACTGTATGTAGAAGTACTACTTTGAGAAATTTGTTTCAGATAAATGTGTGTGATTACACACACACTTCATCATACTACCCATTTTGAGGTGCAGTAAAAATATGAAGAAAAAATGACTGATACAGATGATACACTCACCATCCTAGCTTCCACTGAGCACTTTCCATCAAGGTCACCAACAACCCAAGTACCAAGTGCAGTCTTCCTCTTACTCTATCTCTAGGTAGCACCAAACACGGTAGACCATATCCTTGAAGGCCTATCTTACCAAGGCACCCCCAACACCACTCCTATCTGGCTCTCACCCTGGTTTCCTGGGCACATCCTAGTTTCCTTCACTTGCTCCTCTTCCTCTGCTGGCCAACATTTCAAATGTTGGTGTTTCCCTGAAATCTAACTATAACCCCCCTCTCCTTTTTGTACAACTCTGTCAAGGCGATACGGCCTATGCTAACTTCGATCTTCCCTTATATAGCAATAACTCCCAATCTCCTGAACTTCGAACTCCAATTTTCTACTCCCTAACAGACATTTCCATAAGAAATATAAATTTAACATAACCAAAGCCAAATCCATTATTTTCATCAAAAATCTGTGTGGAATTTTTGACCCTCTAATCCAACCACCATCCAAAGTAGTATCTGAGAAACATGATCACTTTTTATTATGGATTACTCACAGAAATGAAAAGGGAATTTTAAAACTTTAATCCTCTTAAGTCTACCAATTTTCAAGGACAAGGGGCCCAAATTGCAACCCATTTCCATTTTGCTTAATTTGTAAAATATGAGGAGTTTTCAAAAAGTTCATGGAAAATGTGTATGATGAAAAAATTTGACCCAATCCAAACTTCACAGAATTTGGATAAAAGGCATTTGTTCTGTGAAGTCTGGATTCAGTCAAAAGCCCAGACTCAAGGCCCTGCTGTTCCCCACCCCTACGCAGGAGGGCAATTCTGTGAGAGTTTAAGTGGAAAATCACCGTATTCACGCACAGTCCTGGTTTGGCTCCTTCTTACTTATTTTTGTTTCCAAATCTTAAAAAATATTTAAAGGTCACCCGTTTTCCTTTAGTTAATAATGTAGAAAAGATTACACTGACATGGTTAAATTCTAAGGACCCACAGTTCTTCAGGGATGGACTATATGGCTGGTACTATTGCTTACAAAAGTGTCTTCAACTTGATGGGGCTTATGTTCAGAAATAAAGTTTATATATTTTATTTTTATATTTTACTTCCATTTATCCACAAACTTTCTAAAGTCCCCTCATATAGGAGAACTAAATACAACATACCATTTCATGACAACAAATTATTTTAAAACAATTAAAATGAAAGCATGAAATAAGAAATTTCTGTTACATCTACAAATATTATAACTACTTACTTCAATTTGGCAAGTCTGTCCCTGGTCTGATTAATTTCTTTTGATTTACTATGAAGCCAGTCTTCAAGCTGTTTTTTGTTGGGAAAATACCCCAACAGTGAAGTTAATTCATCACTGTGCCTAGATTTTATTTTTCTGATTTGTTCATCTTTGTCAGCCTAAAGGTAAAAACATCTTTTAAAAATAAAATTCAATGTCTCTACATTATACCAAGACAAAAATAAATTCTTGACTGACTCAAGTTCTAGGCTGAAAAAATAACTATAAAAATGTAAGAAAATATGAAATTTCTTAAAAATCTTGGAGTGGAGATGGTCTTTCTAAGCCATAAGAAGAGAGTAATACGTTTAATGCTATAAAAATTTAAAACTTCTGTATGTTAAGAGTTAACAGCAATGTGCATGTGTGTACATAGTTCTATGTAAACTTTTTGTAATTAAACAGTAACTTTTAAGCTTGACAGTCTGTTTTATAGAGTAGTAAGCTAACTTAACCTGTAAAATATAAAGTCGATACCAATGCAATCCTTCATAGTGTGTCAATTATGAATGCAAGATAAACTATCTTAAATACCAGACAGTATAATTAGAACAAAAAGAAAATCATACTTTGTCTTTGGTCAGCATCTCCATCTGGGTACGTGTTGTTGCGTGATGGTTTAACTGCTCCATCTCCTGGTCCAATTTACGCAGTGTCCTATCGAGGTCCACTTTCTCATTCTGTAGGCTTATAACTTCTGTTTTTAGGGTTTCTACATTGCTGTCTTTCTCAGCCTTGCTTAGTTCACGTTCCTAAGCAATAATTCAAACAAACACATAGGTTTATGTACTTTGTGTAGGAATTAAAATAATTAGAAATTATTGCATTAGAAATTAACTACTCCTCAGAATGGTCAAAATATCATTGTTTGCTTATAACCAACAAGAGAAAAAACATAAGGCACCATATATGCTTTCAGGAAAATCTTATTAAAGTTATCTTACTATGTTATATAGTAGAGAATTAGTAAATAAACTTGGAAGGGCAAAATAGGAAGGAAAAATAAGAATCAATGCAAAATTAGGAGAAATGTGTCTAAGTATACAGATCAGAGACTCTTTAGTCAACAATTAAGTGTTAATTAGGTCCTCATGTAACTCACGTTATTGACTGGTATGTAGAAACTATAAAAAGTGTGCTGTGGTCCTCAACTGGTGTCCCCTCAACCCAATAAGACAATACTGCAATAAAGTGCTAAAGACAAAGATGTGCTACAATGATAAGTAGGGAGTAAAAATCAATGTTTACTTCAATTATCAAGATGGGATTTAAGAGAGGATTTGCCAAGCTGTAGGATGCTTACTCTGATGATGGAGATATGAAGTAAAGGGACAGAATAGAAATGAGGAAAATTTGGAAATTCTTGAAGAGATTGGCTAAAAAAGTTTTTACCATAGAAAATGTGATAATACAGCAAAAATCTCATAAAATTACAGTGTGTGAACCTAGAGGAAAAATACTTGCTTTTTTATTTAGGTAAGTGGATCTTAAGTAGGATGTTCATAAGAGTCACCTAATTTTGGTGTGTGTGTGTGTGTGTGTGTGTGTGTGTTTTAAGAGACACAGTCTTACTCTGTTGCCCTGGTTAGAATGCAGTGGCGTAATCACAGTTCACTGCAACCTCAAACTTCTGGGCTCAAGCAATCCTCTTGCCTTAGCCTCCCAAGCAGCTGGGACTATAGATGTATGCCACCATGCCCAGCTATGTTTTGAACATATATTTCCATGCCCTGCTCTCAGAGATTTTGATTTGGAAGGTCTGAGGCGTTAAGATCTAAGAATAGATAATTTTAAAAAGCTTAGGGTGATTCTAATTTTTAACCCACCAGTTTCTAGAACCAAAGAGTTGAGGGACCAAGATATCTAGATAAGTTCATTTTACCTTAGGACAGACAAGGAAGACATTTTTATTAAAATGCCATAATCTAAGGATTAGCAAATACTTCAGAATGCAAGATTCTATATGCCTTACACCTTAAAATTATTATTCAAATAATATCTTACAGCTTTTGTGAGCTCCTGGTCCAGTTCAAGAATCCTGTCTGAAGATCCTTCCAATTGCTGTAATTCATACTTCACATTTTTCAGCTCATGCTGCTTCTTACTTAGGATTTCCGATTTTAGCTCAATTATTCTTCCCAGTCCAGTTTTCTTATCCCTTATCTCATCTATCTGTTTTTGTTTCAGATTCTCTTTTTCTGCAAAGTCATTCTAAATACACATGTGAAGAATTAGCATTAATTTTTTCACTAAATTATTAAGAGAGTTTCTTCATTACAAAACTAATACATGTACAATGAAAAAATATAGAAAAGTATAGTCATGTGTTGTTAAACCACAGGGACATATTCTGAGAAATGCATCATTAGGCAATTTTGTCACTGTGAAAATACCCTAGAGTATACTTACACAAACCTAGATGGTATGGCCTACCATACACCCAGGCTATAATATAGCCTATTGCTCCTAGGCCATGAACCTGTATAGCATGTTACTGTACTGAATACTGTAGGCAACAGTAACACAATAAATATTTGTATATATAAACATAAAAAAGATAAAGTAAAAATCTGGTATTATAATCTTATGGAACCACCATTGTACATGTGGTCCACCATTGTATATGTGGTCTGTCACAACCGAAACGTCATTATGTGGTGCATGACTATACTTTAAAAAATGTAAAAACCATCATCCAGAGATAATCATTATTAACTACGAGCAAATGTTTTCTTTGCAATTAGCTCTAAAACTTTTTTTTTTACTTAACTGGGAATAATAGTAAGAATAGAGGGGGGAAAAAAAAACCAAAAATTTTTTTACCGAAAAACGAACATAGGCCTACATTTTTTCTTCATATTTTTATCTTTATAAGCTTTTAAAACTTAGCTTCTATACGGGTTTCTTCTACCTCGTAGCAGCTTCCATCCTAACACTAATTTAAATATATGTCAAAATAGGGTCTATCCAAAAATTAAAACAATTTAAGTAGATAATCTGACACAAATAAAAGACAATAACAAAGAATGTATTTCAAAATATTTACCATCAGCTGGTTGGCAGTTTCTGTTTCCCTTTCTTGTCTCTCTCTTACAAGTTTGTGAAAATTTTTAATTTGTCTTTCATTGAAGGGTCCACGCTCAAAGCCATCCAATTCTAGCTGTGTTGCCAAAGACTGAATTAATGAATCTCTAGCTCGGATATGTTCTTGATGACGATCTGCTTGTAGCTGTAGGCGACCTTTAAAAAAGCCAACCTAATAATTATATTTTTCTAGCTGGTTTTTAAAAAGCTGAGTAACTGTAAATTCACATACAGTTGCAAAAAATAATACAGCACAATGTCTCCAATACTGAAAGGACAGCACTGCTAATAAACTAATGGAGAAAAACAATAGGAAAAAAATGATCACTAAAAAAATGAGTACTACTGCCCCTTTGAAGAACCACCTGTGGTTTAACTTCTGGTCTTTAAGAGTTTGTTTTTACAGCACTTGAAAATAACTAAAAAGACAGAAAGAGCATGACCCTCACCCAGCTCAAGCCAGCCCAAGTTCCAGGGAGACTGATAAACCAGCCTCACAGAGGGGAAAAAGAGGAAAAACAAATGCAGCCACCTCACAGCTGTCTTCTGCTATCAGTTGGCAGCAGTAACTATTCTTTTTCTTTCTTCTCCCTTTATCCCAATAAAAGTCCCAAGCCCCTTACCCTTTGGCCAGCACTTCATTTCCTTTTTTCGTGCAGTGCCCTTTCCTCCCTTGGAAAGTAAAAAAAACTTTTTCTTTAAACCTGTCCTAATCACTGTGTTGAGATTCTTTCTCATCCCATACTACTGAGTTCCCTCCCTAACATACACTTTGCCCAGGTTCCCCCAATAGCAACTTCCGCAAAACTACAGTATAATATCACAACCAGGATACTCACATTGATATAATTCCTCAATCTTAGTCAAATCTCCCCAATTTTACTCGCACCCATTCGTATATGTGTGTGTATTAAGTTCTATATAATTTTATTACCTGTGTGGGTTCATACAGATATCTACAATAGTCAAGACACTGCACAATTCCAATATCACAAGAACTCTTCTTTCATAAGCATAATCACATCCCCTTGCCCCTTCTCCTACCCAGTATCCCTAGCAATCATTAATTTGCCCACCATTTCTAAAATAAATTTTGACATTTCAAAAATTACATAAATAAAAACATACTGCATATAACCTTTTGAGATTTGCTTTTTTTCACTCAGCATAATTCCCAGGAGATACTTCATTCATGTAGAAAATATGTAACATTACAGACGAAAAAAAGACGAACACTTTGTCCTACCCTGCTCAATAAGTAGTTCTGATTTTTCTTGATTAAGAAGCCTAGATTCTTTATTTAATTTTTCCAATTCACGCTGACAGTCTACCAATCTCCTTTCTTTATCTCTTACTGTTCTCTGGTGATTGCGATATAAGTCATTTAGCTGCTCATCAGTCCCTTGAAAAACCTAGGTAACACCAAAATAAAAAGCTTTAATGTATAAATACAAGAAGATATGATCATTTTGAGGTACCAAATAAGATTCATCACCCTTATTCAACACCCTTCATTTTAACATATACAGAGAAGTAGCACAAACATCAAGATTTGCACTTGTTTTTTCCAAAATGTGGGTGGCAAAACTGATCAAATAAAGTTCACAATAATCCCCAAATTTTGAAGTAGAACAAAATTCTACTACTACAAACCTTTTCCATTTTCTGTTCCAGTTCACTATTATCTTTCTCCATTTGCTTCTTTCGGCTATCCAAGGCTTTAATTTCATTATCAAGTCTCATTATTTTATTGAGATTGTGTTCAATTTCTTTTAGACGATTCTAAAAATAAAGAAACACTCTAAATAAATAAAATTCACTATAGCTTACACTGCTGCTGGATGCAGAAAAATAAGGTGTGCCAAGGCCAGGCATTTAGTAAAAGCGATCTTATTTAATGTTAACAATGACACTGTAAAAAGGGCATAGAGAAACTGAAAAGCAGAGACATTAACTTTTCCAAGTCTTCACAGCTAGCAGAGAAAAGCAAGAATTAAATTCCACTTCTAACTCCAAAGCCTATATCCTGCCCTCTATACCTTCCATAAAAGTTTTTCATTCATTAAGCACTTAGAGCTATAATATGTAGAGTAGCACATTTTAAGAACTTAATCCTTAAAAGGCTAACTATTTAATGTACTTTTAAAAAATGAGAACTATTGAGGGGACTAGAAACGCATGGTGAGTTACCAGTACATTCTTAGACTCATCTCTAAGGAGTATGTATAACCTGGTTTAGAGCATTCTCTCCTTGGATGATGCTGGGGAATCCTCTTCCAGTGTTATCTCTGTGACTCCAAAGCTGACCAAGTCCTCACCTTAGATATTTTTAGAATCTGATCTTTATTATTATCTTTTATTTAGACACAGGGTCTTCCTATGTTGCCCAGACTGATGAGCAGCACCTATTCACAGGCAAGATCATACAGCACTACAACCTGGAACTCCTAGGCTCAAGTGATCCTCCCACCTCAGCCTCCCTTGTAGCTGGGACTATAGGTGTGTACCACCATGCCCAGCAGAAGCTAATTTTTAAACATATTATTCTTAAGTTACTAAACTGCTTAGATATAACCATTGCAAACTTTCATAGCTCCACCAAAATGCATGCTCAACATTAATATCATTTATTAAAATTATACTAATAGTATTACCCTGTGATTTGTATATGAACGGATAGCATATAATCACCATAAAAATAGGAACTTTGTTTACTTTGTTCCCCAATGTATCCTCAGAACATGTAGAAAGTGTTCAATGTGTTAGCTAAAGGAAAGAATGAGAGATCTGACAAAAGTAATTTTATCAATAACAGTCACAGGTATCATTGATTGAATGCCTATTATGTTCCAGACATTGTATAGGTGCTGCTATAAATTCTCTCTAATCCTTCAGGAGGCCAAGGCAGGAGGATCACTTGATGCCAGGAGTTCGAGTCCAGCCTCGAGACCTCATCTCTACAAAAAAGTTTGAAAAACAAAAAAAACTCTCTAGGCAAAAACAACAACAAAAGACCTCCCTAATCTTCATAAGATTACATACTAAGCAGGAGACTCAGAAGACTTACTGACTTGTACAAAACCACATAGTTAGGGAGATAAGATTAGGAGGCAGGGTATCAAAACGGTTAAGACTAGAAGCTCCAGGTGCTGGAACAGCTGGACATGTGTATGCAAAAATGTAAACTTCAACCCTTACCTCATACTATTTCAAAAAATTAACCTGCAGTGGAGCATATACTTAAATGTAAGAATTCAAAAACTATGAAACTTCTAGAAGAAAATATTGAAGAAAAATTTTGTGACAGTAGTTGAGCCAAAGGTTTCCTAGAAATGAAATAAAAATATAAACAATAAGAGAAAAAATTTGAAAAGCTGTACCTCATCAAAATTTAAAACTCCTGCCTTTTGAAAAAGTTAAGAAAATATTTGCCTAACAAATATCTGATAAAGGGCTTAGATTCAGAATACGTTAAGAACTCTCACAGCTCAATAAAGGGACCAAAAAAAAAAAACCATTGAAAATAGGGAAAAGATTTTTCTACTTTATCAAAGAATATATTCAGATGGCAAATAAACACATGAAAAGATGCTCAAAGTCAAGTCAATCAATTGACGATCAATTAGGAAAATGCAAAATTAAACCACAATCCCCAAATGAGATACTACCACACGGCTATTATCATGATTAAAACTAAAAAGGCGGCCGGGCGCTGTGGCTCACGCCTGTAATCCTAGCTCTTGGGAGGCCGAGGCGGGCGGATTGCTCAAGGTCAGGAGTTCAAAACCAGCCTGAGCAAGAGCGAGACCCCATCTCTACTATAAATAGAAAGAAATTAATTGGCCAACTGATATATATATAAAAAAAATTAGCCGGGCATGGTGGCGCATGCCTGTAGTCCCAGCTACTCGGGAGGCTGAGGCAGAAGGATCACTCAAGCCCAGGAGTTTGAGGTTGCTGTGAGCTAGGCTGACGCCACGGCACTCACTCTAGCCTGGACAACAAAGTGAGACTCTGTCTCAAAAAAAAAAAAAAAAAAAAAAAATAAAAAGGCCAACAATACTAAATGCAGAAAAGGGTGCAGAAGAACTGCACTTTTATGCATTGTTGGCAGGAATACAAAATGGCACAGCCACTTTGGAGAATAGTTTGGCAGCTTATAAAGGTAAGCATACACTTCCCATATAATGTAGCAAACCCATTCCTAAAGAGAAAGATAAAAACATATGTCCAAAGACTTGTACACAAAAGTTTAGAGCAGTTTTATCTGTAACAGCCAAAAGCTGGAAACAACTTAATGTTCATCAACCAGGGAACTGATGAACAACAAAAAAAATTGCCATATATCCATATATATAGTGGAATAATACTCAGCAATAAAAAAGGAATGAACTATTCATACATGCAGCAACAGAGATAAATTAAAAATCGTTATGCTAAGGAAAGAAGCCAGACACAAAAATCTATTTGCTATATGATTCCATTTATGTGCCATTCTGAAAAAGGCAGAACTATAATGACAGAAAATGAGTCAGTGGGTGCCAGGAGCTGGGAGTAGGGGGAGAAGACTGATTGCAAGGACTTTGAGAGAACTTTCTGAGTGATGGAAATATTTTACATATTCCATATTCCACATGGTTCTATATATATTTGTCCAAATTCATAGAAATATACACTTTAAAAAGGGTGGATTTTCGGGTGGGGCAAAGGCAATGTACGTGACCTAAACATTTGTACCCTTGTAATATGCTACAATAAAAAAGGTAAGGGTGGATTTTACCATATGTAAATTATACCTCCATAAATCTGACTTAAAAAGAAAAAAGTATGAACTTAGGAATTATAGGCCTGGACTCTAATCCTAACTGTACCTCTTTCTACAAATGTGAACAGCCATGCCTTGGCTTTCTTGCCTGGAAACCCTCAAAGAGTTCTTCCATGGGGCTTACTTAAGACATTTTAAAGCACTTGAACACAGTAAGCATTCAATGAATGGGACCATTCACACTACTTGTGAAAAAAATTTTGTATTCAGAAAATACCTTTTGGCCGGGCGCGGTGGCTCACGCCTGTAATCCTAGCTCTCTGGGAGGCCGAGGCGGGTGGATCGTTTGAGCTCAGGAGTTCGAAACCAACCTGAGCAAGAGCGAGACCCCGTCTCTACTATAAATAGAAAGAAATTAATTGGCCAACTAATATATATAGAAAAAATAAGCCGGGCATGGTGGCGCATGCCTGTAGTCCCAGCTACTCGGGAGGCTGAGGCAGGAGGATTGCTTGAGCCCAGGAGTTTGAGGTTGCTGTGAGCTAGGCTGACGCCACGGCACTCACTCTGGCCTGGGCAACAAAGCGAGACTGTCTCAAAAAAAAAAAAAAAAAAAAGAAAATACCTTTTGAGCACAGACTAACAAAGAGAACTGGATTGATATTGAAGAGCACTAAATATTAACACTTCGGCTATGGTACTCTATAAACTTCACTCCATCAGTGTTTTCACTGCCTCTTGGTAACATAAAATGATCAACTGGGCTTAGCTCTTTTGTGACATCTCTAGCTGCCTCATTCCTTAAATTCAGCCGGTACCAGATTCTCTGGATTCCTTCTCTGATATCTGTGTTTTGGTTCTATCCCCAAGGCATACAACATAGTAAAAAGAGCTAAGACAAGCATGCAAACAACAAAAAAATACAGCAGAGTGTTTAAAGCTCAGGTGCCAGTGTGAAATGATACAAAAAAATGGAGCAGCTGGGCTATCAGGTATAGAAGGCCCATGAACTTGCATGTAGAAAAAGTATTAAGGTTGGTGCAAAAGTAACTGTGGCTTCAGATCGTGAATTTTAAATCATTATAATTAGGCTCAAACACATCTTTATTAATCAAAATAGGAACCATTACAATCAATACATTTTTGCCAATGAGAAATAAGTTTCTTTATTCCTATAGCGTAAAAATCCGTGCTTCAGGATTCCACGAACTCTTGGAAAGCATTTTCTGCATCCTGCTGGTTGTGGAAGCATTTTCCCTGCAAAAAGTTGTCGAGATGCTTGAAGAAGTGGTAGTGGGTTGGCAAGAGATCAAGTGAATATGGTGGATGAGGCAAAACTTCGTAGCCCAGTTCTTTCAGCTTTTGAAGCCTTGGGCCCTTTCTGTTAACCAATGCCAGCCAGAGACATTGCAGTTTTTGGTGCATCTCATCGATATGCTGAACATACTTCTCAGCTGTAATGGTCTGGCTGGAATTCATAACGTTGTACTGGTTCAGACTGGCAGCAGACCACCAAACAGTGACCATGACCTTTTTTTGGTGCAAGTTTGGCTTTGGGAATTGCTTTGGAGCTTCTTCTCAGTCCAACCAGTGAGCTGGTTGTTGCCAGTTGACATATAAAATCCACTTTTCACTGCAAGTCACAATCCAATCAAGAATTGGTTCATTGGCACACAAGGAGAGAAGATGATACTTCAAAACAACTGTATTTTTAAAATTTCTAGTTAGTTCCCAATGCACTCACTTATCAAGCTTCTTCACCTTTCCAATTTGCTTCTAATGCTGAACGACAGTAGAATGGTCAACCTTGAGTTCTTCAGCAACTTTTCAGGTAGTTGTCAGGGGATCAGCTTTGATGAATGCTCTCAACTGGCCATTGTCAACTTCCTATGGTCGGCCAGGGCACTCCTCATCTTCAAGGCTCTCGCCTCCTTTGCAAAACTTCTTGAACCGCCACTGCACTATACGTTCATCAGCAGTTCATGGGCCAAATGTGTGGGCCAATGCATAAAGTTGTCTCCGCTGCTTTACGAACCATTCTGAACTCGAATAAGAAAATTGTTCGAATTTGTTTTTTGTCTAACATCATTTTCATAGTCTTAAATATAAACAGCAAGTAATAAGTCATTAGCAAAAAAAGCGCAAAATGTGCACTAAAATGATGTATAACATAATATTTAAGAATTGTATTCCAATAATAAACAGCAAATTTCAATGCTAAAACCACAATTTTGCACCAGCCTAATAATTAGAAACAAATTTTTCAAGCAATTGCCATTTAAGGCAAGAAAGAAAAACAGATCTAAGTGGGCCAAGAAAAGAGGATAGGATATGGTGGGATGGAAATAAAGTAGTTTATGAGAGAGTTCCTGAAGATGGAAAAAATCTTAAAAATGGGAGAGGATACATTTACAGTACAGTGTAGAAACGAAGCAGTCTTTTCCGGACAGCTGCTGGGAAGGTGATTTGATGCAAACTTTACATTGAGTTCTGCAAGGGAAAAATCCTCGTATGTCAGAGCTAATAAAGCACTATGAAAGTCATCCACTTGCTATGTGAACCACTTGCTATGTGCCAGGTACCGGACTGGACTCGGAGGATACAGACAAGAATAAGATTAAACTCTTAGAGAATTAGTCATGATCAAACATAAATAAACAAGTATATAAACACTTCAACCTTTGCTACAGCATTGGTTAGAGTCCTGGCACCACTCAACGCTAGAAATTATCACTTAGCTCCACGATGACATCATTTACTACACACAAATGCACCATTCAACAATACGGATTTCCCTGTGTTCAAAAATAGCTTGTGTTTTACTGCCCCTGTGTCTCTAATGACCTACTTATTTATGATCAAAAAAGTCATACGCCCCAAAATCCTCTCCAGCTACCTCAGACAGAAATTCTCTTCCTTCCTTCTCAGATCTCCTACAGCTCTTATCTTTTCCTTGCCTTACCATTAAGTGTATATGTCCACCTCTCCAAACAGGCTGCTCCTCAAGGAAACACACGGTGTTCCCCATAGTAATTACAATACCTACACAGTGATCAGGACAACGCATTCTAAATATGACATGCCCTGCGGCTCTTCTGTCTACTGAACCAAGTCCTAATCCATTAACTCCCTATAATCTGATGCCAGTTATATTTCTCACTCCTTTTATCCTGATTTACTCTTTCTCTCACAATCATGTTCTGATAAGCTTGTAGGTGTGAATATAAACACACATGCATATGTTTGCATACACATGTGTATTATAAATATGCAACTAAAAATTACATATATATGAAATATATATATGGAATAGAAAAGTATCTTTTACTTTTCACTTACTATCCTTTTCTTTTTCACTTTGAGCATATATTTTTAAAAGGAAAAAAATCCCAAAAGTATATAAACATACATAAAATGTCTTCTAGTTTGTTAATTTGATTTCTCCCCATTCTTCAAGAACCCCCTCAGCCCTGCTTCCTCTCTGAAGCCCTTGTGATACATTTCTATGCACAGCTTTCATTGTTAAAAAAATACTTTATGGCTAAGCGCAGTGGCTCACACCTATAATCCTACACTCTGGGAGGCCGAGGTGGGTGGATTGTTTGAGCTCAGGAGTTCAAGACCAGCCTGAGCAAGAGCGAGACTCTGTTTCTACTAAAAATAGAAAAACATTAGCTGGACAACTAAAAATATACATAGAAAGTTAGCCAGGAATGGTGGCACATGCCTATAGTCCCAGCTACTTGGGAGGGTAAGGCAGTAGGATTGCTCGATCCAAGAGTTTGAGGTTGCTGTGAGCTAGGCTGACGTCATAGCACTCAAGCCCAGGCAACAGAGTGAGGCTCATCTCAAAAAAATTTTTTTTCTACTTTACAATTCAAAGATCTACACCAGTATTTACACATGAGTTTAAACAAACCGAATCAACACACTTTTAAATGATTAAAAAAAACTTCTATCTGAAACCTACGAAGTGGCCATTTTAAAGAATAGTCTTACTTATTTAAACCAGGAATCCCATAGGGGCAAGGACATTGTTGCAGTCCTTCTTGTACTTGTAGCCCCAGGCACGGTACACTCTGGCACAAAGAACACATTCAAGAAATGCTTGCTAAATGAATGAACAGAATTTTTTTGGCCTTTCTTATAAATCACAGGGTTTAACTAGGATCAATCCCTAATCTTATGCACTGTCAAGAACATCTTGCAAATTTAAAAAATTCCTAAAAGATCTGTCAATTTAAAAAAATTTTAAACATACAGAACTGCAATATTGGGTAATCACACTGCTACTTAATAGCTAGTGATCTACATTACTGATTTAGTGTGATGCTACAAATTTGTTTACTCTCAAATCTAAGCTTTTTGGGCAATTTAAAGACTAATCATTTAATATAAACCTAAGACATTAGTAATAACATTGTATTGTCTCTGATAGATTTTTCTAGAAACATACATGCCACCAAATTTCACATACACATAAAGTGCTTTTGGGGGCAAATGCTATCATGGGCTAAAAAAATGACTTTCTTCTTAGTATACAAGAAATCAACTATTGAACATAATGGTGACTACAGTTAATAACAATATATTATACACTTGAAAATTGCCAAGAGAGGTTTTAAGTGTTCCAGAAAAAAAAAAAAATCGTATGTGAGGAAATGCACATGTTAATTACCTCAATTTAGCCATTTCACAATGTATATTGATGTCAAAACATCACGCTGTATACCATAAAGATATATCACTTTTGCCAATTAAAAAAAAGAAATAGAATTACCTTCAATGGATCAAGTTCATTCTCATAGGATTTGACAATTTCCTTTGAAGATGTCAACTGGGCTTCCTTACTAGTAATCTGATCACGAATCTCACAAGCTTTTTCCTTATTTTGCTTCAGATATTTCAGTTCTGTCTGACATTCTTTTACTTTCTGACCTTGTGTCTGACGTACCTGCCGCAGTGTTTCCAAGGCTTTAATGTATCTTTGAAGATATGAAATAAAAATCAAATTTCTGGCTAAGTAAATTATGGTATATATTCATACAGTGGACTGTTATGTGGTCATTAAGATTATACTTACAAAGAGTTTTTAATAACTTGGAAAATGCTTAGAACGTAATTGTGAAAAAATTACATTTAGAATGTCAATCAGGTAAACAAACATCTGCACAAAAGAAAACTAAAGGAAAATATGCTCAATGGTTGTCAATGGGTTAGAAGTAATAACTGATTATCTTTTTGTTTCGCTTTTTAAGTTTTTTCCATTAAAAAAAGAAGCATACAAATTACAAACATGGCTCAATAACTTAATGGGCTACATACTCTACTTAAGGGTTACAAACCTTGTTGCTGAAAAAATCTCATCAAACTTTTGCTTCAGAGCCTTTCCTTCACTTAAAGGCCAATTAGAGTCTTCTTGGTGACAAAAAATGACATTATTTAGCACAGCCTTGGAAACCCCAAGAGAACTTATCATTTCACGGTCAATTTCAGCACACTTTGAGCTTAGACTGACCCTTTCGCCATGCCTGTAGGAAATGAAAACCAAGAGTATATGTAAAATAACCTTCAGTTGTACCTATTTTTTGCCTAACCAATCCTTCATGCTGTACTTCTCTTAAAAAAAAAAGTCCCTTCAGCTGTCTGCTGTTAGAATAGCTTCCTTATGCTTAAAATGCATAACTCTCAAATGATTTGGCAGTTCGCTGATGAAAAGATAGATAAAACATGGTGGTACAGGAAACAATGCCAGAATTTCTTTTTACATATTTGGACTTCTAAATACAATAATTTTCCTCTATGTATTATCTATATGTATTCTAAATTAATTGTCTTCCCATCTCCAGAACTTAAAAATCAGAAATTTAAATGAATAAAACAAAACATTATGATCACCAGAAGACAGGCAAAAGTAACTTAAAGCCACCTAAAAATAGAATAATAGTTTAGAAAAGGGTTTCTTCAATAACAGACTGATCTGGTGGGCAAGAGGCAGTGTCTGTCTTTACTGTTTTTTATACATCCCAATTTTTATTTTGAAAATATTACACCAAATGTATTGAGAATGCTTTGTAGGGGGCTACAACGGATACAGACCAAGAGTTTATCACATTAGAACAGGGAAAGATCTTGGTAGTTTGCATGAGAATGGTCATTGTAGAGATGGAAACAGATTCAAGAGACATTTTGATTAAATCCATAGGACTTGGTAATAGATAGGACATGGAAGGCAAGGAAGGTATCAAGACATGTTCTTAGCCAGCGTCACTGGATGGATAGTAGTGTCACTCACTAAGATGAAGCATACTGCAAGAGGACTGGGTTGTTGTAGGTTATTTAAGGAGAGTCAAGGAGAAGGAATCATGAGTTTGGTTTTGGACACATTGAATCTGAGTTGTCTTTGAAACAACTAGTAGAAAATGAGAGAGCCAGTTGGATATTTGAGTCTGAAAACAGAGGTCTCATTTGGAGATATAGATTTATGAGTCACCTTTGAACACAGAGTAATTGGAGTAATGGATGTGAGTGAGATTATCTAGGAAGAAGAAAATGTATAGCAAAAACAAGAAAAGATATAGGACTGAGCCTATAGGACTCCGACCTTTATTGGCTGGGTAAATAAAGTAGGACTCCAACCTTTATTGGCTGGGTAAATGAAGTAGGATGTGGCTGTGATAGAAAAAGGGAACAGTGTTGTATCATGGAGATCTAGAAAAAGAAATTTTCAAATAAGAAGTGATTAACAAGTACCATTTACTGAGCCATAGTACATAGACAAACGGTCCTCCAAAGACGTCCACACTCTAATCCCTTGAATTTGTGAATGTTAGATTCCATGGCAAAGTCCCCTAAGATTATAGATAGAATTAAACTGCTATTCATCTTATTTTGTTTTTGAGACAGAGTCTTGCTCTGTTGCCCAGGCTACAGTGCTGTGGCCTTAGCCTAGCTCATGGCAACCTCAAACTTCTGGGCTCAAGTGATCCTCCTGCCACAGCCTCCTGAGTAGCTGGGACTACAGGAGTGTGCCACCAAGCCTGGCTAATCTTTTCTATTTTTAGTAGAGATGGAGTATCCCTCTTGCTCAGGCTGGCCTCGAACTCCTGACCTCAAGAGATCCTCCCGCCGCAGCCTCCCAGAGTGCTAGGATTACAGGTAGCCCAGGCAACACAGTGAGACTCTGTCTCAAAATAAATAAAATAAAATAAAATAAAATAAAATAAAATAAAATAAAATAAAATAAAATAAAATAAAATAAAATAAATAAAATAAATAAAATAAAATAAATAAAATAAATAAAATAAATAAAATAAAATAAATAAAATAAATAAAATAAAATAAATAAAATAAATAAAATAAATAAAATAAATAAAATAAAATAAAATAAAATAAAATAAAATAAAATAAAATAAAATAAAGGAATCATCTAATTAGTTAAACAGATAAATAAAAGGGAGGGGAGGAAAGTGAATAGTTAACTCATTTGCTCATTAAGGATAGAGCCTTGAATCCAAGATAGCCTAATTCTAAAAACCCATACCCATTAGAAGATCATACCTGCCTCCAACAGTAATGGTTGAAAGGAAGAATAATCCTTCCTACTCGTCTGCTTCGCACATCATCCATCTCTATGTATGATACTAGCATATTTTTATTCATTCAACCTACATTTGAGTCATTATGCATTTTCTTTATTTTTGAGACAGAGTCTCACTCTGTTGCCCGAGCCAGAGTGCCGTGGCGTCAGTCTGGCTCACAGCAACCTCAAACTCCTGGGATCAAGCAATCCTACTAACTCAGCCTCCCAAGTTGCTGGGACGACAGGCATGCCCCACCATGCCCGGCTAATTTTTTCTATATATTTTTAGTTGTCCAGCTAATTTCTTTCTATTTTTTAGTAGAGACGGGGTCTCACTCTTGCTCAGGCTGGTCTCGAACTCCTGAGCTCAAAAGATCCGCCCGCCTTGGCCTCCCAGAGTGCTAAGAATACAGGCATGAGCCACGCACTTTCAATTCAGCAATTGTTCCTAACTTATTCAAGGGAATGAAACATTATCACTAAATCTTTAATAGGATCATTCTGTCTAACTGATAAATAGTTTCAACAAAAAATTAAATGTTGATTGCAGGGGAAACTGTGTGTAGGAGTAGGGAGCATATTCTCTGCTTAATTCTGCTGTAAACTCCAAACTGCTCTAAATATTAAAGTCTATTGAAAAAAATTAATATGCTCTTCCCTAAAATAGGAAAAAACTATAGTCCTATAGACCTAAAAGACAAAAATGAAGAAGACATTCAAATATAATATAAACACTTACTTTGTTCTAGTAATGACTCCTTCCAGTGTTTTAAATTCTGTCTTTTTGCTTTTCTGAGTACACACCATAGATCTCTGCACTGCTATAAGCTCTCCATTGACATCACGAAACTGCAGACGAATCTGGGCTCTGACATCTGTTTCTTGAGCAACCTTTGAATGTTAAACAGAGAAAAATTATGCTTCCTTAATAAGCACCAGAATGTTAGTTCTGAAAGAAAAGACATAAGCAATCTTACCCAAAATGAGGAAACAAAAAAAAGGTAAACACAAAATAAGTCATTTTTACACACTATTACAAATATGGGAGGAAAAGAATACTGTTTAATTGATTTACTAAAATGATATTATCTACCTCCTTTATATAGCATTATTAGGAGAGTAAGTAGATCAAGTACCAAAAATGTTTTTTAAAACTAAAAAAAAAAATCACAAGTTTATAGAAAAGTAGAAATACAGTATACATAACTTCCTCACCCCCCCCCAAACCATATGAGCATTAAGTTGCTGACCAGATGTCCCATCACCAGTATTTCCTACAAAACAAGGACATTTTCAACCATAAAAATCAGGAAATTGATACTAATATATTACTACCAGATAGTCCATAGATCCCATTCAAGTTTTTCCAATTGTTCCAGTTCAGAATTATACATTGTATTTGGTGGTCATGTCTGTTTAGTTTCTTTCAGTCTGGAATAGTTGCTCAGATTTTCCTTGACTTTCATGAATCATTTTGAAAATTATAGGCCATTATTTTAAAGAATGTCTCCCAACATTTGGGTTTGTGTTATTTCTTCATGATTACAATTAGGTTATGCATCTTTGGCTGGAATATTATAGAAGTGATGATGAGTTCCTTTCATTGCATCTCATCAGATAGGACATAATTTCAATTTATCTCATCACTGGGGGTATTAACTTCAATCTCTTGACAAATATGTATCTGACAGCTTCCCCAGAAAAAATTTTTCTTACTTTACAACTAATAAGCATTTGGGGGACAGATGTATTGAGACCATGTAACTATCCCTATTTCATCAAATTCCCTCCACTAGTTTTAGCACCTAGTGCTTCTTACCTGAATTATTATGACAGCTATTAAATACAGGCCCACCTTGTTTTATTGTGCTACTCAGATACATTTTGTTTTGTTACAAATTGAAGGCATGTGAGGGACCTAGGTTGCGCGCTCCTTATGAGAATCTAACTCCTTATGAGAATCTAATGCCTGATGGTCTGAGGTGGAGCTGGGGTGGTGATGCCAGTGCTGGGGAGTGGGTGCAAATACAGATTATCATTAGCAGAGAGGTTTAACTACACAATAAATGTCATGCCCTAGGATCACCCCAAAACCATCTCCTTGCCCCCTTCCATGGAAAAATTATCTTCCATGAAACCAGTCCATGGTGCCAAAAAGGTTGGGAACTGCTGTCTTAAGCGTTTGATCCTACTCGAGGGGGCAGGAGGGGCATGGGCAATATACGTAACCTTAACATTTGTACCCTCATAATATGCTGAAAACAGAAAAAAAAAAGTTTGATCCTTCCAAACCTTTGCTTTTAAGGTTTATAAAGAGGAGTCTCGAGCAACTTTTACCCTAGGACTAATTTAGTATCACTTTCCCTCAAGCCTCAAAAACTTCCCTTAATAATTATTGTAGTGTAAGTCTGTCTGTAACAAATTACCTTTACCTTTTATTAAATCCAAAAATGTTCTCTCTTTTTGTCTTTGATTTTTTTTTTGTTTGTTTTTTTAACAGACAAGGTCTCACTTTGTCACCCAGGCTAAAGTGCAGTAGCATGATCACAGCTCACTGTAGCCTCGAACTCCTGGACTCAAGCAGTCCCCTCCTGCTCAGTCTCCCAAGCTGGGACTACAGGCACGTACCACCATGCCCACTTTACCTTCAATTTTTGAAGGATAGTTTTGCGGGATACAGACGTTGAGGCTGACTTACATTCCCCAAGATTTTAAAGATGTTATATCACTCTTTTCTGGCTTGGATAGTGTTTGATAAGAAAACAGCAATCACACTTATTATTTTTACCCTTTGCATGTTACTTTTTCCCCTGGCTTTAAGATTTTCTTTCCATCTTTACTTTTGAGCAACTTGAATATAATATGCAACATAGGTGTGTTTATGCTGCTTGTGATGCACTGAGCTTCTTGTGGTCTTTCTTATAGTTTTTATTTCTGTTTAGATCTTTATGTCCATCTTTTCCTTTAAATCCTTGAACCTATCACAGCTTTTAAAATCCTTGTCTGCTGATTCAAATATCTACGTCATCTCTGGGTCTGTTTTTATTCACTTTTTTCCCTCCTAGTTACAGATCGCATTTTCTTCTGCATACATCCATTAATTTTTTTTATTATATCCTGGACATTACATTGAGAGTTTGGACTCTATAGACTTCCTTTAAAATGTGTTGAGTTTTGTTCTAGCAGGCAGTTAATTTTGATAGCTCAGCTTGATTCTGTCAAAGCTGCCAATGCCCACAGTTGCTTCAAATATTTTTTCCAGGGCCGGGAGCGGTGGCTCACGCCTGTAATCCTAGCACTCTGGGAGGTTGAGGCGGGTGGATTGCTAAAGGTCAGGAGTTCGAAATCAGCCTGAACAAGAGCAAGACCCCCATCTCTACTATAAATAGAAAGAAATTAATTGGCCAACTAATATATATAGAAAAAAATCAGCCGGGCAGGGTGGCACATGCCTGTAGTCCCGGCTACTCGGGAGACTGAGGCAGTAGGATTGCTTGAGCCCAGGAGTTTGAGGTTGCTGTGAGCTAGGCTGGCGCCATGGCACTCTAGCCTGGGCAGCAGAATGAAAAAATAAAAAAAAAAAACAAGTATTTTTTCCAGTTTTTATTTTATTTTTTTTAGCCCCCGTCCCTTATCACTGTATCCAGTTTTATAATTGTTCATTTTGAGGGTCTAAGTGTGATACTCATTCTATTGCAATCAAAATCAGGAAGTCCTGGGTTCTGCTTTTGTTTAAATCATAATATCCTTTGTTGACTTTTTGGCATAAATTTAACTTTGCTATTAAGTAAATTAATCATTCAACAAATATTTAATAAGCACTTTATAGCTTTTGTTTTTTTTTTTTTTTTTTTTGAGACAGGGTCCTGTTGTGTTGCCCAGGCTAGAGTGCAGTGGCATCATCATAGCTCACTGCACCTCAAACTCCTGGGACTATAGATCTGTGCCACCAAGTCCAGCTAATTGTTTTGTTTTTTGTAAAGTTGGGGTCTCGCTATTGCCCAGGCTGGTCTTGAACTCCTGGCCTCAAAGGATCCTCCTGCCTCAGCCTCCCAAAGTGCTAGGATAACAGGTATGAGCCACCTGTAGCTGTAGGTATGCCCAGCCTGTAGCTTTCATATATTGTTTTGGTTTGAAGTGATAGACTTTTTTCCTTTGGAGTATGGAAGAGAAACAGGATAAACAAAAGAGTAGAGAAGGTACATTAAACACCATCATAAGTGAGGTATAGAGTGATCTGGCAGTACAAAGTAGGGGCATTTAATCTATCTAGGAGAGGTCAGGGAAGATATTCTAAAGGAAATGAATGTTTAAATGAGACTTGACAGATGAGTAAGAGTTAGCCAGATGAAAAGATCTGAGTCATTGAGCAACTATAGTAATTTCATAATGTTTGGTGCAGAAAGTAGGAAAAAGTCATAAAATGCTCCAGAAATTAAGAGCCTTCTGAAATATGTCAAGAGTTTAGGACTTAAGGTGATGGAAAGCCACTAAAAGGTTTGAACCAGGGGAATCTTATGCAATAGATAGGCATTTTAGAAGCATTATTTTGTCTTCAGCGTGAACAGATTGAGCTGAGGCAAGATAGGCAGCAGGGAATAATCCAGGAGAGATAAGAAGGCAGCCTGAACAAGGATTTTAGCATGGAGGATAGAAGTAAAGAGGGAGAACTCACTGGACTGGCTGCTCAGAAACAGCCTCTTAGGATATAGATATTTCAGTAAGGAGATGCCAGAGGTCATTATAAAGATCTTTTTTTTTTTTTGAGACAGAGTCTCACTTTGTTGTCCAGGCTAGAGTGAGTGCTGTGGCATCAGCCTAGCTCACAGCAACCTCAAACTCCTGGGCTCAAGCAATCCTCCTGATTCATCCTCCCGAGTAGCTAAGACTACAGGCATGCGCCACCATGCCCGGCTAATTTTTTCTATATATATATATATATCAGTTGGCCAATTAATTTATTTCTGTTTATAGTAGAGATGGGTCTCGCTCTTGCTCAGGCTGGTTTCGAACTCCTGAGCTCGAGCAATCCGCCTGCCTCGGCCTCCCAGAGTGCTAGGATTACAGGCATAAGCCACTGCACCCGGCCCATTATAAAGCTTTGAAAGCCCAAGGACTTGATTCTGTCATTTCATCCCAAGGAGAGCAGCTAATGAGGGCTAATCCACAATGATTAAACTGAAGAGCTATGCATATATGCACCAAAAAATTAATTTGTTTACAGTGCTACTGACTAGCAAGCCAAATATACATATTCACTCTCCATGGCATCTAGCTATCTGGCAAACATCAAATTAGTAAGTGGAATTCAAGTAAGGACTATCTTGTAGCATTTCTATCACAATACTGTTGTGGATGTTCTTACTCAGGAAGAATCACTTCAAAAAGAGTAACTTAGATTTAGTTAATTTATTAAGGCAAAGAAATCTGTATTACACTTCCAAATGATTTCTATCCAAAAGAATAAAATTAAAAGTAAAATAAGCCCTTCCCCTTTCCAAATATCTAGTCCTAAAACCATTAGGTGGGGCAGAAGGAGGTATGTGTGTTCATGCTGGCTGAAGGTGGAGGACACAGTAACTGAGCCTAGAGTGGGATAAATCAGCTGCAGTAGGCTGAGAAGCACATCCTCATGGGAAAAAGCTGGGCATAGAAAGGGTTTAAAGAGTCCAAGGATACTGGAGGTTCAAGCAGGATGAAAGGGGAATTCAAGAGTAGGGATGACCCAAGCCCAGGAGGAGAGTGTCCATGCTGGGGGGAGGAATAGTGTGGAGATTCAGAGCCTGATAACGAGGAGGAGGGGGTCCACATGAGGGGTAAGTTTGCTAAGGGGATTCAGCTAACCGTGTAGAAATGGCATCCCTGCAAGAGGCCACCAGGAATAAAATATGAGACTGGGAAGAGTGACTCAGCTCTGGGGGGATTCAAATCACGAAGCAGAGACAGCATTCCTGCAAGAGGCCACCTGGTATGGAGTGTCAGACTACGAAGCATGAGGAGGTTGTCCTGGGGAAGTCAGAGCCTACACAGAATGGGAAGGCATCGTGAGGAAGCCAGAATCAAGAGCAGAGTCCCAGCAGAGCAAGGAAGGCTTGCACATGGGTGCAGAGTCAGCCCAGTGTGGGTGTTGGAGCCCAGGTATAGTGATGGAAGATTCATTACATACAAGGGGACTGATCAAATAACTAAATATATTAAGAATATACGGCCGGGCGCGGTGGCTCACGCCTGTAATCCTAGCACTCTGGGAGGCCGAGGTGGGCGGATAGCTCGAGGTCAGGAGTTCAAAACCAGCCAGAGCAAGAGCGAGACCCCATCTCTACTATAAATAGAAAGAAATTAATTGGCCAACTAATATATATAGAAAAAATCAGCCGGGCATGGTGGCACATGCCTGTAGTCCCAGCTACTCGGGAGGCTGAGGCAGGAGGATTGCTTGAGCCCAGGAGTTTGAGGTTGCTGTGAGCTAGGCTGATGCCACGGCACTCACTCTAACCTGAGCAACAAAGTGAGACTCTGTCTCAAAAAAAAAAAAAAAAAAAAAAAAGAATATAGTCCATTCCTTGCTTTTCACTCCCTTTATTGTATTTACCAGGCAAATTTCCAACTTTGTTTAAATCCAACTTTTCAGCTTATTTAGTACTTGCCATTGAGCAGCTGAAGAAGACTGAAAACACACACACAACCACTATGACCAGTCTCTCTTTAAATTTTCACACATAAACCTCAAGTGAACCCCTGACACTGTCATGTAATCCTAAAATACTTCCCTTAATCAATTACTCTCTGAGGTAAAAACTCATTTTTTCTAGGCTCAATCAACCCCTTTTCCCACTCTCAGTCAATAACCTCACTTCTTTTTTTCACTGAGAATACAGAAGCAATCAAAAGAGAACTAATTCATTCTTTCACCACCAAATTACCAATCATACACTCTGCCTGCCATCCTGTTACAATGAATAAACAGCACATGCTCCTGAACCCCTCCAGTTGGACAATGGATCCTGTCTCTTCTTGCCTACTCAAGAATTTTGCTTTTCAATTATCCTCTCTCCTGAATCAATTTTTCCTGCCAGAGTCATTCCCATCAGTCTATAAATGCTCTAGCAACAGTTGCCAACCCCAGGGCCACAGCCTGTTAGGAACTGGGGCCAGGCATCACTGCCTGAACTCTGTGTCACATCTCCCCTCCCCCATCTGTGGAAAAACCGTCTTCCATGAAATTGGTCCCTGGTGCTGAAAAGGTTGGGGACCGCTGCTCTAGTACATCCCAATTTTAAAAGCATGAAAAAACAAGAATAACCAACAAAATTCTCCTTTATCCTGTAAACCTCATTAGCTATTGTCCTATCTCTGGTTCCACTTACAGCTCATAAAATAACTGTGTTTCAGTTCCTTATCTCCTCTTTTCTGATTACTGAAACTGGTTTTGTCAAGAGCAACAATGGACTCCACATATCCAAACACTCCTCTTGCTTGAGCCATCAACAAATCTGACACAGGTGATGACTCCCAGTTTTCCTCTTACTTTATTAGTTGCTCTTTTAGTATCTTTTGCTGGCGAGACTCCTCTTCCCAATTTTGAAATTCATTAGCTCTAGTGCTCCAGGTTCAGGTCTTGGATATCTTTTCTATATTCACACCGTATTTGATCTCATCAGGCTTTAAAAATTAACTACAGAGAACCAATTGTATAGGTCAATGATTCCTAATTTTCTTTTTCTAGTGCTAACCTCTTCCCTGAAGAGACTTCTATTTGCCAACCAGACATCTCCTTTGGATATTTAACACACATCCTTAATTTACTTATTTACTCCACCCAAATCTTTTTCCAGACAGTCCCTATTCCCATAAAGGGCAAAAAAAAAAAATAAAATAAAATAAAATAAAACACCTTGGAGTTATGCTTGATGTTTCTACTTCTTTCTTTCATACACCATTATTCAAACCCTTGTGTTGGTAAGAGGGATTGGTGAGATCTAGCTTCCAAGGGATTGGCTGATGTTTAGATAAAAAAAAATAATTTGCCCATGCTAGATGAGAAAAAACAGTATGGGTACATATGTAGGGTAGTTTGGTAGATTTTTTTGATTGGAATATGAGGGAATTTACATCTGATTCCTCTGATTTCTCAATCAAGCACAAGACAAGATCATTGAGTGAGGAAATAGATTGTAGGTTTAAGGAGAAAGGTGTGAAATAGTCATTGTAGACAGGGTTCAGTAAATGTACTAAATGCTATTACTATTTCTGAGGGGAAATTCATAAAAACAAAACAGAAGTGCATATATATTTACAAATTCATAGTGTGTCACTAAATAATTTGAGTGGTAAAAACTGTATTTACATGCTAAAATATATGTGAGTGCATTTACATATTCACATAGGAATGGTTTTATAAACACAGAAAAAAGCCTGAAAAAAAAAAAAGAAAAAAAAAGAAAAAAAAAATAATAATAAAAAAAAAAAAGCCTGGAAGCATCTACAACAAACTCTTAACTAGTGAGACTGGGGGAGCGGGTAGTAAGAGAGGCACATGACCCCATTAAATAAATATATACATATATATACTTTTTTTTGGAGACAGAGTCTTGCTCTGTTGCCTGGGCTAGAGGGCCATGACATCAGCCTAGCTCACAAGAACCTCAAACTCCTGGACTCAAGTGATCCTCCTGCCTCAGCCTCCTGAGTAGCTGGGTCTACAGGACTGTGCTACCATGCCCACTTAATTTTTTTCTATTTTTAGTTGCCCAGCTAATTTTTTCCTATTTTTCAGTAGAGACAGGGTCTCACTCTTATTCAGGCTGGTCTCGAACACCTGACCTCAAGCTATCCTTCCGCCTCGGCCTCCTAGAGTGCTAGGATTACAGGCATAAGCCATCATGCCTAGCCTTTATATATATTCTTGTTACATATACATTGCAAAAACAAAAAGCTATAGGGCAAATACTATGTATCCTTTATAAACACTAGTAATATAAATGCCATAATTCAAACAAAGATTCATACACAAAGATTTTTATCATGGTACTTTTTTTTCTCCCAAGAGACTGGGTATCGCTTTGTTGCCCAGGCAGGCCTTGAACTCCTGGGTTCATGCGATCCTCCCATCTCAGCCTCCAGAGTAGCTGGGACTATTAGCATGTGCCACCTTGCGCAGTTTTATCAAGGTACATTTCAATGAAAAACTAAAAGCAATCTGAATTTAAGAATATTATATAACTATCAAAATGTTTATAAAACATTACCTCTTTTAAGTAGAAAATATTTCAGACATACAAAATAGCATAAAGATTAAAAGAAGCACTCACATACTAAACAGATTAAGAATTTACTATCATTTGTTAATAACATAGGACTTTATGATAACGTTAAGTGGGGGGGGGGGCTCCAGAAAACAAAAACAAAAATAAAGTATGACCTCAGCTATGCAAAACAGTATTTAAAGGAGAATAAAAAATATATGAAAATGTCAACAATGATTATCACTGGGTGCTAAGACCATGCATGGTTGACTTTCATCTCTCTTTATACATTTCCATGGCCAGGTTTTCTATAATAGGCTATTATCGCTTTTATGATTATAAAAATTTTATCTTAAAAATATAAAATTTTACTAGCACCATTACCTTGGGATCATGAACAAATGTATTTCCTTTCGTTCCAGGAGGGAAATCTCCAGTACAAATATACTTTAGACATTCAATGATGGTCTAAACGAATAGAAAAATATATTATTTGGTTATAAGAGAACTGTAGAAGTATACACAAAACATTAATTCATTATAGAAATATTGTCATGGAAACTATAGAAGATACAATCAGATATGATTTGGCTTTATAAAACCTATAATAAAGATTTGATTATGTTTAAAGAATCATTGCTGTAAGTTCATAGAAAAGCTATATAATTAGGAGTATCCTAAAATATAGATTTGGAAAAAATAGTTCTCTATTTTCAATTAAAATCCTTTAAATTAACTTAGTAATAATGGCTGACAGTTACATAGAGCTTCCCATGTGTCAAGTATTGTGTTGGACTAAATACTTTGACATACATTAACTATTTAACTTTCACGTTAACTCTAGGTTATGGAAATTTTTTTTTTCTTTTTGGAGACAGTATCTCCTCTATCTCTGTCAGGCTGGAGTGCAATGGCACAATCATAGCTCACTGTAATCTCAAATTCTTGGGCTCAAGTGATCTCCCTGCCTCAGCCTCCCAAGTAGCTGGGACTACAGGCAAGAGCCACCATGCACAGCTAATTTATAAAAATTTTTTGTAGAGACAGAGGTCTTGCTATGTTGCCTAGGTTGGTCTCAAACCCCCTGGCCTCAAGTGATCCTCCTTGCCTTGGCCTCGCAAAGCGCTTAAATTACAGGCTTTGTGAAGCCACCACACCTGGCTTATAGAAACGATTTTTAACCCCATTGTCTTAAGTCATTAAATATGAAATGTCTGATTTTGAATCAAAAGTTTATTATATCTCAAACAAGAAGCTGTACAATTAATCTAAGTATGTTCCTAAACTATTGACACAGTTTTGCCATCTTAATGGTAGCTTGTTTAGGCCAGCAGCAAAGAAGCCTAGAAAGCCAGTGGTGATGAAATCTCCAAAGACATTTTCCACAGTTTGTGGAGAACTGAATATTTTTACTTGCAAGAAGTGGTCCAAAGCCGGGAAGAAGTGGTAGTCGGTGCAAGGTCTGGTGAATATGGTAGATGACAGTTTCCAAGTCTAGCCTCTGTAGTCTGAGCAGCGTTGTTTATGCAGTATGTTCTCAAGCATTGTCTTGCAAGAGGATTGGCCAATCTCTATTGATCAATTTCAGCTGCTTAATTTGCAATCATCTCTACTAACGAATCTTGGCTGCTTAATTTGCAATCATCTCTACTAACGAATCTTGGCTGCTTAATTTGCAATCATTCTCATAATTTCATCCAACTGGTTGCAGCAGACATCTGCTGTAATCGACTGACCAGGTTTCATGAAGCTGTAGTGGATAATACCAGCCCTCGACCATCAAACAGACACCATTAGCTTTTTCTGATGAATATTCAGTTTTGAACAATGTTTCAGCACTTCATTTTTATCTGACCATTGTGCCAAATGCTTGCGATTGTCAAAAAGAAACCCATTTTTCATCACACAGAATGATACAGTGTAAAAATGGTCCTTTATGTTGTGACAGCAAAGAAAGGCAAACTTCGAGATGATTTCTCTTCTGACACTTGTTTAATTCATGGAGAACCCATCTATCTAGCTTCTTTACCTTGCCTATTTGTTTCAAATGGTCCAACATTGCTGCAATAGTAATGCCAAACCTTGCTGCTAATTCACGAGTAGGTTAAGATGGATTCGCTTCTACTACAGCTTTCCGCTCATTATCCACCTTGGTCTCAGGTTACCCACGTGGCTCATTTTCAAGATTAAAATCACCAAAATGGAACTTCTCAAACTACTGATGTACTGTGCATTCATTAGCCACATCCTTCTCAAACACTTCATTGATATTTCAAGCTGCCTGCATTGCATTGATTCCATAACGGAACTCATATTCAAAAATAGCACGAATTTTTGACTTACCCATGGTTTCATAAAAATTGCTATAAAAACATTTTAAAGATAATCACAAGCCAGACCAGGCGCGGAGGCTAATGCCTGTAATCCTAGCACTCTGGGAGGCCAAGGTGGGTGGATTGCTTGAGGTCAGGAGTTCGAAACCAGCCCGAGCAAGAGCAAGACCCCCGCCGTCTCTACTATAAATAGAAAGAAATTAATTGGCCAACTAATATATATAGAAAAAATCAGCCAGGCATGGTGGCACATGCCTGTAGTCCTGGCTACTCGGGAGACTGAGGCAGTAGGCTTGCTTGAGCCCAGGAATTTGAGATTGCTGTGAGCTACGCTGACGCCAGCGCACTCACTCTAGCCTGGGCAACACAGGGAGACTCTGTCTCAAATAAATAAATAAATAAATGAGTAAATAAAGATAATCACAAGCCAAACCATGTGTTTGAAAGAATGAGGATAGACCTTCACAATAAAAATGAGAAGTGTCAGAGTGAAATGTCAGAGATATCAACTATCAAACTTAGTACTTAAGGCAATCAGACACTTCATACTTAGTAACCTAAATATGTGCGAGGAAAAAAAGGGCACAGAGCAGCTGGGTCACTTGCTATTGTTAATAAATGATGAAGTAAAAAAATCTGTATTCAGGCAGCCAGTTCTCATAAACACTATACATTTCCTACTGGGTAGGAACATCCTAACAAAAAAAGTGTTCCAATTTAACTAACCCCCACGACATCTGTTTCATTTTAAAGTTAAGCCGTTCATTTGCCATTTATTATGTTTAGACAGCACACGTACGAACTCTTAGTCACATATTCATTGTATGTGGCATACTTTTTAAGGAATTTCTGTGTGGGACAACTACCGGGAAGTGAATGCTGTCTGTGCTCTGGGAGCAAGCAGACCGCGTTAGAAACATCAACGCAGATAAAGGGCTTCTTGCAGGCTTTGAGCTGAGGGGAGCGGCAGGCAAACCTCGTCCACAGGACAGGCCGGACACCGCAGCGTGGCAGGGTCGGGCTGACTTCTAGTGTCGCCAGGGCCCGCGGGCCACGCCCCGAGGCGCTTCCTGGGCCTCCACGAGCACAGCTGTGGGGACGCTTCGCTTCCTGAGGAGAGTTCTGGACTCCCCGGACACTTCATTCTCAGGACTCGGAAAACGCGGCGACCCCGTACACTGAAGGTGGCTACTCAGGACTTACCGTCTTCCCCGCCCCATTGGGTCCAACCAAAATTGTGAGGGGGCTGAAGAAAGTGATAATTTGCTTATCTTTGTCCTCTATTCCAAAACTCCGCACGCCCAGAATGCTCATCTTTTCAATCCGGGACATGTTTGCAAACGTTTCCTGTCTCTCAACACCGGGGACCTGGCACGGTTTAACAGTGAGGCCGACGCCGCACGCGAAGACCCGCGAATGCAGCGCCCTGAGGCTCCACCGGCGAGCCGCGAGAGCGGATGCAGCGGCCGGTCTGGGGCTGGCCGCCCGGACGCCAAGCGCAGCACAGGTTCCCGCCTCGGCTGCCCCGCGCGTCACGTGAGCCTTTACAGCCTGCGCGCGTCCACGCTCCACGCCCGGGGCACGCCGGGAAGCTGGAGGCCCGTGGTGCGCGCGCAGCTCTGGCTTCCGGGCGCCGTACCGCGGAGCTCCGGGCTACAAGCTGCGGCGGGCTTCCGCTGACTTCCGGTTCGCCTGGGCCGGGCTTGGCAGAGCGACGCCATCTCTGAGAATTGAAAACCAAGACCTGAGGCGGACGGCGCTGCAGAAAGCGCGGTTATGAAAGGGGAGGGCTGGGGGTAGCGTGGAGTCGGAGACCCAGCGCGGGAGTTCGTTAACGTCAAAACTATCTTCCTTTCCCTCACATAAGCGTAGTGTTTTCCAGCGACCTCACGACGCGTGCTGACGCCATCGCGGCGGTGACTAATGGAATGTGTGTTGTATGTTCATGGACTTGGAAAAAAGAAATCTCAATTTCTAGTTGAGTCCATATTGATAGTTGCAACTCACACAAACGCTCTTTGAGGTCCTCGGTAATTTGTAAGAGTGTAAAGGGTGTTTAAGACCAAAAGTTTGGAAACTGCTGTTGTAGACCAAAAAACCGCATGCTGTTATAAACTAAAGGCGTTCTGCAAACAGCAAGAATGTAAAGGAAATCTGTTACGATCAGAGCCGCCACAGAATAGGGATAGATGTAAGGAAAAGAGAAATCACCTTTCTCAAAACTGAGAGTATTATTTTCTTGTAAACAAATTTAATGGAGGGATACCATGTGCAATGATCTATAGGAAAATTTACAAAACTTACAGAAACAATAGACGTTAAAATCAAACAACTTTAGATTACTGTAGTGGTATAATTTGCCTCTGCCTGAGATGGAAAAACGTACGAAATATTTCTTCAATCATACAATCCGGCCGGGCGCGGTGGCTCACAGCTGTAATCCTAGCACTCTGGGAGGCCGAGGAGCGGATTGCTCGAGGTCAGGAGTTCGAAACCAGCCTGAGCAAGACAAGACCCATCTCTACTATAAATAGAAATAAATTACTTGGCCAACTAATATAGGTAGAAAAAATTAGCCAGGCATGGTGGCGCATGCCTGTAGTCCCAGCTACTCGGGAGGCTGAAGCAGAAGCATTGCTTGAGCCCAGGAGTTTGAGGTTGCTGTGAGCTAGGCTGACGCCAATATACCCATGGTGACAGAGCAAGACTCTGTCTCAAAAATAAATAAATAAATAAATCATACAATCCCAAGAATGTAATTTACAAAACCTAATACATAAACTATTAATGTGTCAAAGGATGCAAGTAGGGAAGTCAAATAGTCTCTCACTGTATCAGGTAAAAAAAAAACCAAAAACATGGAAATGGCAGTTATTCCAACAGATACTTAAAATTACCATTGGAGACCTGGGGCAGTGGCTCATGCCTGTAATCACAGCACTTCGGTAGGCCGAAGCAGGAGGATCCCTTGAGGCCAGGAGTTTGAGATCAGCCTGGACAACATAGTGAGACTCTATCTCTACCAAAATAAAAATTTAAAAAGTAGCCCGGCAGCGTGGTTGCCTGTGCCTGTAGTCTCAGCTATTCAGGATGGAGGCTGATGCCAGAGGATCCCTCAAGCCCAGGAGTTCTAGG